TAGCAGAGTACTTTAACCACTGCATCACCAGCTTTTCAGTGAAATCAAAGTTAATATTTCATCATGATGAAAATGATAGACCAGAACATAATATGTACTCAATAAATGTGTTTGTTACATGCCCACGTTTCTAAATAAGTCTTGTCTACTGTCTGAACAAAAGACTGTCAGACTTGCTGATCAGAAGCACCTGAGAAGCTTTTTAAAAGTGGCTCCTAACCTTTATCCTAGAGCTCTGTGAATGGGGGCCCCAGATTCTTTAAAGTTTGCAAGGTGAATGTGATGATAGGTTGAGGAACCTCTGATTTCGGTTCTGCTGACCATTGATTATAAGCATGGTACTGATTGAAAATTGCTAGAATAAGTACTAATCCAAGAACTGACCTAAGTGGCGTGTGGTTAGTTAGCAGAGGAGGGGTACAGATAGCACTCAGACTTGAGAGGAGGGCAAGTTGGTTGGAGGGACTAGAGTTTTCCTGGACCTAAATGGATAGGGTAAGGAGCCCTCCTAGCATAGTGGGTTACGCATTGGGCTGCTAACCACAAGGTCAGCAGTTTGAATCTATCTATCAGCAGTTCTGTGGGAGAAAGATGAGGCTTTCTGCTCTCTGAAAGATTTATAGCCTTGGAAACCATATACAGGGTCACTGTGGGTCAGAACCGTCTCAAAGGCACATCATCACCACCAATAGATAGATGGGTTCAGGTAGGTTGAAAGAAGGGTGAGGAAGCTCCTAGGCAGACACAGCCGTGAGTTATTTGGGTTGGTTTCCTTGGAAAATTCCATGATGCTAGAAACGTGTGTGGATGTCTCTTAGGCAAAATCTGTAAGTCATGGATTTTTCCATCTCTCCTAGCCTCCTTAGTCATCAGCCATTGTGAGCCCAGGGAGCGCAGAGTCATTTTCATGTTAGCCTCACTCTGGCCAGTTAGCTTTAGTTTTTATTTATTTGCAAACTTACTTGAGTTGGTGAGCCTCCCAGTGTGTTCCACTACTTTGGTTTTGGCTGTTTTCATCTCACATATACTGATTCCTGTTCCATGCGCTGTCTGTGCAGGGCGAGACAAAAATCAATCAAATGCTGGTACTTCCTGGATGCTTCCTGAAAGCCAGCATTGCACTCGAATTTTTATTTCCTGTTAGTTTTTTATTATATGTTCAGAAGAACAAGCCTCTGTGTATAAGTATTTTCAGTGGTTCTGTAATGATTTGTAATAGCTTTAACTGTTAGGATGCATCTTTGTTCAGTAGCACTTCTCAGAACCCCTGTGGTATTTTATCTGACCCTCTGCTTAATGACTGTTAAACCTCACAGTTGATGTGTGTCCTGTGCCCCTAGCCTTGTGTTTTCCTGTGTGCACACCCTCAGTCCCTCGAGGGAAAGGGCCAGGGTCTGAGACTAAGCAGCATAGACCCAGTTTCCTTCCAGCTGCTTCAAGAGCTTAAACTTCTCTTGTTAAAAGAACTGGATTTGCTTCAGAAACAAAACGAAGTCAAATCTATAGTAAAAAGAAAACCACTCATTATCTTCCAAAGTTAAATAGAATGACGTCTGGGTTATTGGTTGCTAGGGAGTTCCCACTGGACCAGACAATTGGAAGGTGGTCATCAGAAATGTGTGTACTATATTTCTTGCTTGTGGCCTTGAGCAGCTTACTTACCCTCTCAGGACCTTGGTTTCGTTCTCAGTATTGTGCATGTTTATACTGGAGGGAGACGAGAACTGGCGGTGTTGATGTAAATAATCTCTGTGGTCTCTTCTTGCCCAGACATGCTTTAACTTTTACTCTGATTGCTCCCAAAACATCTTAAAGCAGAATAATGTGGTGATTAAGAATATTGGCAAGCCACCATAATATTTCGATTGTGTGGATCATGCTAAGCTATGGACAACATTGAGAAGTATGAGTATTCCAGAACACTTAATTGTACTTCTGAGGAATCTGTACCTGGACCAAGAAGCAGTTGTTCGAACAGAGCATGGGAACACTGAATGTTTTAAAATTGGGAAAGGTGTGCGACAAGGTTGTGTTCTTTCACCATACTTATTCAACCTGTATGCTGAGCAAATAATACGAGAAGCTGGGTTCTATGAAGAAAAAACGTGGCGTCAGGATTGGAGGAAAACTCATTAACAACATGCGATATGCAGATGATACAACTTTGCTTGCTGAAAATGAAGAGGACTTGAAACATTTACTGATGAAGAGCAAAGAACACAGCCTTCGGTATGGGTTGCATCTCAATGTGAGAAAACATCCTCACCACTGGACCAATAAAAAACATTCTTATCAATGGAGAAAAGATTGAAGTTGTCAAGGACTTCATTCTTCTTGGATCAACTATCAACACTCGCGGAAGCAGCAGTCAAGAGATCAGACGACGTATTGCATTGGGCAAATCTGCTGCACAAGACCTTTTTAAAGTGTTGAAGAGCAGAGATGTCAGCTTGAAGACTAAGGTGCGCCTGACCCAATCCATGGTATTTTCAATAACTTCAAATGGATGCGAAAGCTGGACAGTGAATAAGGAAGACCGTAGAAGAATTGATGCCTTTGAGTTGTGGTGTTGGAGGAGAATACTAAAAGTGCCATGGTCTGCCAAAAGAACCAATAGATCTATTTTGGAAGAAATGCAGCCAGAGTGCTCCTTGGAGGCCAAGATGGCTAAGCTTCGTCTCTCATACTTTGGACATATTGTCAGGAGAGAACAGTCACTGGAGAAGGATGTCATGCTGGGTAAGATGGAGGGTCAGAGAAAAAGAGGAAGACCCCCAACGAGATGGATCAGCCAGGTGGCATCATTGATGGTGTCAAGTGTGGCAGCGGTGGTGGGGTTGGCTCAGAATCGGACATTGTTTCGTTCTGCTGTGCATGGGGTCGCTATGAGTCAGTTCTTACTCGATGGCACCTGACAACAACAACAACAACAACCATAATATAAATAAAAAAGAAAAGAAAAAAAAAATGGACCCAAGACTTAGTGTGTCAATTTAGATGCTTTTGGTTGCAAGAAAAAAACAACTCAGTTGATTTCAACAAAACAAAGCATTAGTTCATGTATTTAGAAAATTTAAGAGTGGGTCAGCTTTGGCTATGGTCTAACTGAATTCAGAGACTGTCAGTGTCCTCAGTGACTTCATTTATCTGTGATGCTCCCAGTTCTGCCATCCTCCATGGTAGCTTCTCCGTCAAGAGAGCAAAATAGTTGAAATAGTCCAAGGCCTTACATCTGCGCATCACACCAGTTGAAAGCAAGACAGAACTTTTCTCCCCTGTACTATCAAACTAAGGTCTTGGCCTTTATTCTGGACTGGTTTCTGTTAGGAGTCCTGGTGTGGCGCTCTGGGCTAATGCATCAGACTGCAAAGTCGTTTGAACTGCAAGGTTGGTGGTTCAAGCTTACCAGCTGCTCCTTGGAAACCGTATATAGGGTCGCTATGGGTCGGAATCGACTCGATGGCACTTAACAACAACAGCAAGTTTCTGTTATGTGCCCACTCTTTATTCAAACTATGACCAAGAGATGCCAAAGAGATGCTCAAGTCAGTATAGGCTGAACCCTAGAGATTAGGGACACATCAGCCAAATCCAAATCACATGGCTATTAAACCAGATAGGCTAGCTGCTGAGGAGTTTGACTGTGTTGCCTGCGGATGTAAGTCACACTGGCCATTATCTGATTCTAACTCTGCTAGTTGTGCAATCTTGGGTAAATTGCATAACTTTATCGAATATCAGTTTCCTCATCTGCAAAAAATGAGAGAATAATATATATCTCAGAACACTGTTGTGGGGGTTAAATGAAATAATATATGAAAATTACGTTAAATATCCCTGGTGGTACAGTGGCTAAGCAATAGTCTGCCAACTCAAAGGTAAGCAGTTCAAACCCACCTGCCACTCCGAGGGGAAAAGATGTGATAGTTTGATTCTGTCCAAATATACAGCCTTGGAAACCTACAGGGCAGTTCTACTCTGTCTCCTAGGGTCATTGTGGGTCAGAATTGATTGGACAGCAATGTGTTTTAGGGTTAAGAAAAAGCACTTAGTATAGTTCCTGATACAGAGTAAGTTTTCAATAATGATGCAGATGACGGAGTTGGTGATGATGAAATTAAAGAGGAGCAGGGAGTAATGACATTAGCTCCAATTTAGGAAGCAGCTAAGTTGTTGTAATGTTATTTAACTGCAGGTGGGCATACCGACACATTGAAGGCTACCCACATCAGACTTTTCCCTACCTGCCCTTCCTCACTTTTTGCCCTTATATTCTTTACTGTCTGAAAATGCTTACTTTCATCTCCCCTGCCTCTTTAAATCTTACTCATCTTTCAAGGCCCTGCCAAGTAGCCTTCCCTAGCTATTCTTGCACATTTTTACAGTGTTTCCCTCAGAGCTCATAGGTCAGTGACTTTTGTAACTGAGTTTCCCCATGAGCAGAATCAGTAATGGTTAAGAGTTCAGTTTCTGGGGTTAGAGAGACCTGGGTTTGTTACTTATCTGTGTAACTCGGGGAAGTTATTCAACATCTGTATGCTTAAGTTTCTCCATTTGTAAAATAGGGCCTACCAGTAGCACCTACCTCAACGTTGTGAGATAATTAAATAAGGTAATGTATGTCAAGAGTACAGTGCTGGTGCAGAATAAATAAAAATCATAGGAGCAAATTCTGTTTTATAGTCTGTGTCCCTGGGCTGGGCACATGAGTACTGAGCAGACTCAGCACTAATGGGTCTTAAGAAGTACAGAAGCTCTTTCTCCTCTCCACAATCACCCTACAAACAAAAGAAAGAAGAAAGTAGCTTCTAAACTTTGTCAGAGTCAAGTAGATAATGTACAAAGAGATTTAAAGAGTGACTGGCAAGGAGGACAGGGTGAGTAGAATGGCAGGTGGCTCATGTGAGCAACAGGAAGTTAAGAGGAAATCAGCAAGGGGCTGTTCTGTGTTCCACCCTCCAGCCATCACATTCAGCACTTCTCAAGTCGGCGTTTGATGAAATGGGAATCAACCAGTCAGTGGGCTTTCCACCTGTGACAGGACCCCACCTTGTGGGCTGCGGGGATGTGATGGAGGGTCAGAGTCGCCAGGTAAGTGTCTCCTGCTCAGTCCCTGTCTATTTCCCATGGCTTCCACCTGCACCGTGACTGATTGCTAATAATAAGTCTGGCTGTGCAATCCCAGATGAGGGAAACGGAATCAGAGCTGCTCTAGGCTTGTTTATAAAGCCCAAGTGATTCCACCTGTCAGCCCCCAGGTCCGTCTTCCCTGACCTTTTTCCTTCTCTTTCTCATAAACACCTTCAGTCTACAGAGATAGTGGAGTTGTGGAGCTCCCATCTCCAAGGCCAGTCTCCAACCCTCTCACCTTACTTGAGGGCAGATCCTGGAGAGGTGTGTTTGATCTCATCCTAAGTATGAGAGTCTGTGAGAGGAAGAACAGTGGGCCCTGCACCCTTGGCCTTAGACTCCCTACACTGAGTGGGAAGACAGTTGCTTTTCTCCTCGCTTGCCTCCATCTGTTTACCCCGCCTTTTTATGGCATCTGAGTCCTCCCTCGTCAGCTCCCAGGTCTTTCTCTGCTGGCCCTTGGACGTCCCCCTGTCCCTTCTTGTGCTTTCCTATAACCGGTCACCTACTCCCATGTGAGATGAGTATGCTGCTGCTTTCCTAGGGCCAACCTGGAGTTGTGGCCAGGGTCCGCCACCAGTCCAACTCCAGGCAACACACTCAGGCTAACCTCTAGTCCCAGAGCCCCTCTAGGCCTGGGCTCAGGGCAACCTTTAAACCTTTGGAGGTTCCAAGCACTGAAAATACTTTGGTGCCCCCAGATATACGAATTCAAAATATAGTTGGATATTAGAAATACCAGAAGACTTACATACATGTTGGATACAAAATTTGCTTCTTTCTGGAATTTTTTAATGCAAATTTTGGATCTGTTCATTGAACCCAAAGTCCCCCCTATTTTGGTGCCCTGCCTTTTTGCTAGTATCCCAACACCTGCCTGCTTAGCCTGGCTGCTGGGAAACTGGGCGGTGCCTGGACTTTCTGCTCTCTCTCAGCAGCTGCCCTATTCTTTCCTGCAGGGGAGCTTCTTTCGACTCTTCTACCCCTGCCAAGAGGCAGAAGAGACCCTGGAGCAGCCCCTGTGGATCCCCCGCTATGAATACTACACTGGCCTGGCCGATTACCTGCAGTTTAATAAGCGCTGGGGCGGGTTGCTGTTCAACATGACTATGGGTAAGAGCTGACCTGACCCTGGAGTCTTTTCCACGTGTTTAGTTGTGTTCCGAGGCATACACACAACACCTTACAGTTTGCCTTGTTTAGAAGAGGGCATTGTCCTGGCCTTTGTAATGGGGTATTCATTTGCTCAGTGGAGAGTGGGAGAGAATTATGTACATAATTGTATAGAGACATAAGAGCTTGGGTTTTATGGTTAAACTGTCCTGGGTTCAAATACAGACTTAATAGTTTATTAGCTGTCGGCTTTGGGCAAGTTATACTTAGCCTGTGCTAGGCTTGCCTTTCTCATCTGGTAAATGCCTACTTTCCAGGGCTACTGTGGGATATATGTAAAGCAGTCTAGTGCAGTGCTTGACATAAACCATGTTCTGTAAGAATCCCCAGTCAGTGCCACATAGTGTGTGGATCCAAGAAACATTCTTAGCTGTCAAGGAGCTTACAGTCTGCTACAGTTCTCCCCCCTTTTGGGTAGGGTCACACTGAATGCGCCAGCTCCCCAGAAGATCCCACTCCTAGGAGCTCTACTTGCTGCTTTAGCCTGTCAGGGATTTACCCCATGGCTCCTGCCCCCTAAAGAAGAAAGAGTATGACTGACTGCCTTGGGATGCCCAGCAGGCAACAGTGCTTCTCTAGAGGAAAGGAGAATGGGCCTTCCCTAATCTTGTACCCAGGCTGCTTAGGGTTATCCCGAGGTTCTAACCCCTATGTCTCTGCTAGGATCTTGTCGCCTGCCTGTCAACTGGAATGGCCCCTTTAAGACAAAGGACTCTGGATACCCCTTGATCATCTTCTCCCATGGTCTGGGAGCCTTCAGGTAAGAGCTTCACTCCCCCAGACCTTGTCATAGCCCTTGCCTAGTATCAGCTGCTGAGTCTCAAAGGACAGAAAAATAGACATTTCCACTTGCTAGCTGTCTTATCTACCATGTGCTTTGTTCCACAGTATTGGGGTCACCTTCTCTATGCTTCCTTCATCTCTTCTCCCAGCTTCATAGCCTTCTTCACTTCTTGTGCCCCAGCATTTATATCAATATGTACTTTTAGCTTTCTTCCTATATGTTGTTGTTGTTAAGTGCTGTTGAGTCGTAGCAACCCTGTATAGTGTTTCCAAGAAGCAACTGGTGGGTTTGAACTGCCGACCTTGTGGTTCACAGTCTAGTGCTGATCCTACAGTGCCACACAAGGATCCTTTCTTCCAACCCATAGCAACCTTGTATAGGGTTTCTGAGGAGTGGCTGGTGGGTTTGAACCACCGACCTTGCAGATCAAACTTCTTTCCATATAGCAGCCCAAAAGTACTAGTGACTACTGTATACAGGCACTGGTATAGCACTGAATAAGATGGACTCATTCTTTATACTCATGGAGTTAGCGGTCTAACCTCCAAATCCTCACCTTACCATTTGTAGTCTGTGTGAGCTTGGGAAAGTTTTTATAATTCTCTGAGTGTAGGTTTCATCATCTGTCAAATGTGGAGGCTGCTCTCGCAAGGCTGTTGATGAGGATTCAATTAGATTGGCACTTGGTATGTTTACACATTTCTCTCCATGGAGGACCTTGGTGACGGTGAACTGCAAGATATATTTCACAGACTGCAGGAAACTTTGGCCTGAGTTTTATCATTCAGTATTCATTCAGAAGTCTTTCTGTGAATTCTTAATTCTACATGTTGGTGTATTATATTATTTCATTTCTACAGTACATGTGTTCCTGTATAAGCTGGTGAATGTTCTCAATATTGGTTTGTCCGTCGATGTATGTGAAGCCTGGTTATGTCCAAGTGATCCACAACTATTCCTTCCTTCTTACACCTCAAACCATTGTCGACACTGTCGCCAGAGAGCTCTCTTTCAAAACCAAATATGATCTTGTCATTTCCAGACAGTGCTTCCCATGTAATGTTGTTAAGTGCCATCGATCAGTTCCAACTCATAGCACCCTGTATAGCATTTCCTAGGAGTGGCTGGTGAGTTTGAACTGCAGACCTATGGTTAGCAGTCCAGTGCTTACCCTGCTGTGCCACACTAGGACTCCTCCCATATAATAGGTGCTTAATAAATACTTGTTGAATGAATGAATGTCACTCTCTTACTTAAAACTTTTTAATGGCTCTTTGAACTTAATCCTCACACTGTAGGATAAGTACTGGACTCTAACCACAGTCAATGGTTCAAACCCACCACTTGCTCCTTGGAAACCCTATCCTGGGTCACTTTGAGTTGGAACTAACTCGACAGCACTTAACAACAACAACAACCCAGAAGCAGATCCAAGATAAATGTTTCCAGCCTTACTTCTTGCTACTTGCCTGCCTCCAGCTTGCCAGACAAGCTGACCATCTTTCACTTACTTAAAGACACTTTGTAATTTCCTGCTTCCATGTTTTTAATCAATGCCGTACTTTGTGGCTGTTCCTTTTGCTGGAATATTTGCTGTTTAGTGCCTCTCTTTCTCATTCTCCTTTTCCGTCTTTGCCTCCACATTTTAGTTTATATGTCGCATCCATACCCATCCTGAGTCCCAAGATAAATTTTCCAGGAATGTGATCTTATAAGACATAATTGTCCTTCATTTCCATAACTGTAATGATTTACTTGGAGTCCTGGTGTGGTGCTGTGAGCTAATGCAGCAGACTGCAAAGTCATTTGAACTGCAAGGTCAGTGGTTCAAGCTCACCAACTGCTCCTTGGAAACCCTATACAGGGTTGCTGTGGGTCGGAAATGATTCAGTGGCACTTAACAACAATAACAGTGATTTAATTATTTGTATAATTCTTCAATGTCTATCTTTCTGACTATATTTTAAGCTCCATAAGGCAGAACCCATGTCTGTCTTACATCTCTCCCAGTGTCTAGACTAGTGCTGGCAAGTTGTCATTTCTCAACAGACGTGTACTGGACAAATTAAAGAGTGAATACAGAGGTCATATTTACTAAGTTCTCATTGGCTACAGCTGCTCTGTCCAGCATAGTAGCCTCCAGTCATACGTGGCTGTTGAGCACTTAAAATGTGACTTGTCCAAGTTGAGATGTGCTATAAATGTAAACTATACATCAAACTTAAAGACTTCTTGAGGAAAACAACCCGTAAATATTCATGATTTAAAATCTTTGATTATCTATTAAAATGGTATTAATGCTATTTAATGGTTTCCACACTCTGTTGGGTCACCTCTCTTTGGAATGAGCACAGATATGGATCTCGTCAACTCAGTTGGCTAGGTAGCTGTCTTCCAAATTTTTTGTCATAGATGAGTGAGTACCTCCAGTGCTGTATCAGTGTGCTAAAAGATTTCAATTTGTATTCCATCAATTCCCTGGGCCTTCTTTTTTGCCAATGTCTTCAGTGCATCTTGGACTTCTTCCTTCAGTACCATAGGTTCTTGATCATATGCTACCTTTGGAAATGGTTGAACATCGACCATATCTTTGTGGTACAGTGATTCTGTGTGTACCTTCCATTTTCTTTTGATGCTTTCTGTAGCTTCAGTATTTTAAGTTGAGGCTTGAATGTTTTTTCTTTAGTTCTTTTAACTTGAAAAATGATAGTTCTTCCCTTTTGGTTTTCCAACTCCAGGTCTCTGCACATTACATTATAATACTTGACTTTGTCTTCTTGAACTACCTTTAAATTTTTCTGGTAAGCTCTTTGATTTCCTTGTTTCTTCCATTTGCTTTGGCATCTCTACCCTGGAAAGCAAGTTTCAGACCTTCTACTGACATCCATTTTGGTCTTTTCCTTCTTTCCTGTTTTTTAGTGACCTTTTGCTTTCTTCCTGTATGATTATTTTGATGTCATCCCACAACTCTTTTGGGTTTGGGTCATTAGTACCTAATGCATCAAATCTGTTCTTGGGATGGTCTCTAAATTCAGGTGGAATATATTCAAGGTCATAGTTTGGCTTTCTTGGACTTGTTATAATTTTCTTCAGCTTCAACCTGAACCTTACATATGAGCAATTGGTGTTCTGTTCCAGAACTGGCCTTGGCCTTGTTCTGATGATTTTTCACTTTTCCACCATCTTTTCTCACATGTGTAGTCAGTTTGATTTCTGTGTATTCCATCTGTTTAGGTCCATGTGTATAGTTGCTTTTTATGTTGTTTGAAAAAGGTATTTGCAATGAATAAGTAATTGGTCTTACAAAATTCTATCATGGGATCTCTAGCATAGTTCCTATCACCAAGGCCATATTTTCTAGCTATTGATCCTTCCTCTTTGTTTCCAACCTTTGCATTCCAATCTCTAGTAGTTATAAATACATACTGATTACATGTTTGACCAGTTTCACACTCAAGACATTGATTGTTGATATGTGCCGTGGAGTCGGTTACAACTCATAGCGACCCTGCATAGGGTTTCCGAGGCTGTAAATCTTTACCAGAGCAGAAAGCCTCATCTTTCTCCCGCGGAACAGCTGTTCATTTCAAACTGCTGACTATGAGATTAACAGCTCAATCCATAACCACTACGCTACCAGAGCTCCTTCAAGAAGTTGATAGACATCTTCAATTTCATCATTACTGCCTTTAATTGTTGTTAAGTTTGAATAATAGTGGTTTTAGCTAGTCTTGCTTGTAGGCATACAGATGTTATGTTTAATGTTCTTTTTAATGTTGAATGCAATACTATCCTTCTTGAAGTTGTTTTTCCCAGCATTGTTGTAACTGCCACCTTGTGGTTCAAATCTACCTTGCAGTCTTGTACTTATCCTGCAGTGCCACACCATAGTAAACCATATAATTGTCAGATTCAAAATGGCCAACAGCAGCCCATTTCAGTTCACTAATGCCTAAGATTGGAGTCCTGATGTGGCACTGCAGGATGATGCACTGGACTGCAAGGTCGGTTGGACCACAAGGTCAGCAGTTGAAACCCACCAGCTGCTCCTCAGAACCCCTATACACAGTCACTGTGAGTTGGAACCAACTTTATGGCACTTAACAACAATATTGTTGTTGTTGATATGTGCCATGACGTCGGTTCTGACTCATAGCGACCCTGTACAGGGTTTCCGAGGCTATAAATCTTTACGGGAGCAGAAAGCTTCACAACAATATAAAATATACTTAATTTTTCTACAAACTTTTTGAAGACCTTTTTGTTTGTATGTGTGTGTGTGTGTGTGTGTGTGTGTGCGCACATTGTTGTCAATTGCCGTCGAGTTGATTCCAACCCATAGCAACCCTGTATAAGGTTTCCAAGGAGCAGCTGGTGAGCTTGAACCTCTGATCTTGCAGTTCAAACAGCTTTGCAGTCTGGCACATTAACCCACAGTGTCACATACATACATATAATTTTTTTTTTTTTTCCTGCAAAGTTGGAAAACAAACAAAAGATCCACATGATAAATCACAGTTGGGTTGCATATTAGGATATTAGTCAGGGTCACTGTAAGCCACAACTTATTTGGGAGACAAAACAGGTAGATAAACCAAAATCCACTGCCATAGGGTCAATTCCAACACATAGCAGTTCTATAGGACAGAGTAGAACTGATCCTTTGAGTTTTCAGAGACTATCAATCTTTACAGAAGCAGACAGCTTTATTTTTCTTCTACAGTGAAAATGGGTTTGAACTGCCAACCTTATGGTTAGCAGCCCAGTGCTTACCTCACTACACCATCAGGACTTCTTATACAAATATATTGTTAAGTACTGTCAAGATATATAGTCCTGGTGCACTGAGAATAAACACTGGAGCACAAGGTCGATTTAAACCGCAAGGTCAGTGGTTCAAACTCACTAACCACTCCTCAGAAACCCTACACAGGGTCGCTATGAATCAGAACCAACAGCACTTAACTACTGTCAAGATATAGTCAATTAAAATGCAATTGTAGAAGTGGCCAAATCACATTTCAGAAGAAAAGATGAGTCATTGTTTCTATGGAGTTGGAAAGCACAGTGGATTCATTTTACAAGTGCTTCCAGAGTTGGGTATGTGGAGGGGGGGCGTGGAGAGAGAAGACCTGGAGTCTTGGTTGAGAGAAGGGAATGATGAGTAGAGAAACCCACCTTAACCCTTGTTAAGGTGCACTCCCCACCCCCGAAACTCCCTTGGTTCAACCATTTGATTTTTTGAAGTAGTGGCTAGAGCAGATCATGGTTGGAATGGGGGCTAAGGTTGGGCCATTGTTTTGAGCACTTCTTTCTGTTCCTTCCTGAATATTCTAGGACGTTGTATTCAGCTTTCTGCATGGAGCTGGCTTCCCGTGGCTTTGTGGTGGCTGTGCCTGAGCACAGGTGAGGGATGATAGTCATAATGACCTATCATGGATTGGGTCCCTGCCGTGAGCTAGGACATTGGCTAGTCACTTATTGGTAACTATTTCTGATCCTCTCAATAATCATGCAAAGGTAGGTATTATTTCCATTTAAAAGGTAAATAAACCAAGGTTCAAAGCATGCCCAAATATGATACAGCTCACTTGGATTCAATCCTGGGTTTGTCTCTACTATATCATACATGTCCCAAATTCTCCTCTGCTGATCAAAGGATGATTCAGGGTGTCTTGTTAAGAAAAAAATAAAGCTCAAGAGTGTCTTTTGGCTTCACTCTGATGGCATGTATATTTCAGGGACCAGTCAGCTGCAGCCACCTATTTTTGCAAGAAGGCTCCTGAAGAGAACCAGACCACCAGTGAGTCACTGGAGGAAGAATGGATCCCGTATCAACAAGTTGGGGAAGGGCAGAAGGTATTCCATTTTCGGAATTCCCAGGTAGGCTTGTGCCATTTGTTGTTGTTGTTGTTTAGTGCCGTTGAGTTGGCTCCAATCCATAGCGACCCTGTATAGAGTTTCCGAGGAACAGTTGGTGAGCTTGAACCACCGACCTTGCAGTTCAAACAGCTTTGCAGTCTGGTGCATTAACCCACAGCGCCATACCAGGAGTCCTTGTGCCATTTAGGAAGGGAGAATTAATGAAACTACCCTTCCTGTGTTGCATTCACTAAGTGAGATTTTAAGCTTACCCTCTCTCAATCATAGTGGGCCTGAACTTGCCACATAATAGAGGAGAAATGGGGTATTTGTCAGGATTTTTTTGGTAACAAGTCATAGAAACCCCACTTTGTTTTGCTTAAGCAGAAAAGGGAGTTGATTGACTCATACAAGCAGGCTGAAGGAAAGGAAAAAACACTGGCACTAGACTCAAATGCCATTCAAGCTTATTTTCTGTTTCTCTGCTTTGTCCCTTCTGCTAGTCGGCCTCATCTGCAAACTGGCTTACATTATGAGGTTAGAGTCACAGCTCTCAACAGATACGAGCTTACATATTTTCAATCTTACCTTCTGATAAAATCGAGTATATTTTTTGGGGTGGTCTTCCATCCCCTATCCTGCTCCAAGCTGCAGTTTGAAAAATCCTGGGATGGTCTCTAGGGCTGGAGAAAAGTACAGGGAACCCTGTTCTGACCATTCCAGAAATCTGATATATATTGAATACCTCTTTTTTTTTTTTTTCATTATTATTGCTTTTTATTATTAATATCTCTATAAATTCAATATCTTCATTTCCTTTGGGGAACATTGGAAATATTATATATAAAATTACAGCTTCAACATCCGCTCTCCCTGCTTCTCCTGTTTTGTGAGTCAAGTAGACTGTCAAAAGTGCAATTTGTCATAACTCAAATGTGTCATCAACTGGGGACGACCTGAGCCAAAATTGAAGTCCTTATCAAAAATATAGGAAAGGGAGGAGAGGTGCTAGGCCGACGAAACAATAAATGTGTCCTATAAATTCATTTGTTGTTAGCTGCTGTCCTCCTAGTACCTTACTCCTGGTGACCCCATGCACAGTGGGATGGAAAGCTGCGCAGTCCTATACTGGCTCCATAGTGGGTTGGGATCAGATCACTGAGCTCCATAGTGTTTTATTGGCTGGTTTTTTGGAAGAAGATTGCCAGAATTTTCTTCCTAGTCCATCTTAGGAAGCTCTGCTGAAACCTGTTGCATCATGGCTCCACTCCAAGCCCCACTGATAGATGGGTGGTAGCTACTTACTGCATTTACAGTAATCATTTCTTTTTGTTTCCAAAGCACTTTCTTATCTAAGATCCGTTTGATCCCCCTGACAGTAGAAAGGTGGAGTCTGACTTACTCTGTCAGACTGTTAGGTGGTGCTTATGGGGGACTTATGGGAGTCCTTGAGTTGTGCAAAGGGTCAGTACTCAACTATCAGCTGAAAAGTTGGTTTGAAAACACCCAACGCTGTTTCAGGAGACAGATCTGGCAATCTGCTTTTGAAAGGTCACTTCCTTGAAAATCCTGCGGAACGTTCTGTTCTCACACATGGGGTCTCTCTGAGTCAGAATTGACTCAGCTAGCACCAACCTGGGAGCTGTGAAGAAGTCAAATCTTTCTCAGGATGGGGCCCACGGTGCTTGCGAAGATGTGCATGGGCAAACTTCATTGACCTTGTAACTGTGTGAGATTCTCTTTGGGGAGCTGTGCAGAGACCATCTCTGTTACAGGTACACCAGAGGGCAAGTGAGTGTGGACGGATATTGAAGATCCTGCAAGAGGTCACTGCTGGACATACTGTCTTCAACGTTTTGCCTGGTGGGTTGGATCTGATGACCTTCAAGGTATGGTAGAATATGGTTGAGCTGGAATAAATATGTTTATCAGGACTTTCTTGATTACAAGTATTAAAACTTTTACTCACATTAGCTTAAACCAGTCAAGGGTGATTGGCTGACATAGTCGAGAAGACCACAGGTAGACTGGCTTTCAGTCTGTGGAGCTGGATCCAGGAACTGTGTGTGAATGATGACAGGATATAGAAATCAGTGCTGTCCAGTCAGTTTGGGCTCAGCAACCCTCTGTAGGGTTTCCCAGGCTGTGTATCTCTGAGGGAATAGACAACCTCATCTTTCTCTTGCAGAGTGGCTGCTGGGCTTGCTCCAACCACCAGCCTCATGGTTCATAATCCATTGTTTATCCTGTAGAACCAACGTGCTCCCCAAAGAAGCTGATAGAATTCTTCAGTTTCATCATCTCTGGCTTTAGTAGTTGGTGCGTAAATTTGAATGATAATGGTATTAACTGGTCTTCCGTGTGGTGTTGTTGTTGTTGTTGTTACTAAATTTCATCAAGTTGGTTTGACTCAGAGTCCCTCTATAGTGTTTCCAAGGAACAACTGGTGACTTTGGACCACCCACCTTGTGGTTCAAACCAAGCTTGTGGTCCAGTGCTTTATCCTACAGCACCACACCAGAACTCTTTCTTGTAGGCATATGGATATTATCCTATCACAGACAGCATTGTACTTCAATATTTGTTGTTGTTAAGTTGGCTCCAACCCATAACCATCTTGTATAGGGTTTCCGAGGAGCAGCTGGTGAGCTTGAACAGCCGACCTTGTGATTCAGACCAAATTTGCAGTCCAGCACATTAACCCACAGTGCCACACCAGGAATTTATGTGGTGCTGTAAGATAAGCACTGGACTGCTGATCACAAGGTTGGTGGTTCAAACCCACCAGCTGCTCCTTAGAAATCCTATACGGGGTCACTATGAGTCAGAACCAACTCAACGGCACTTAATAATGTTTATATAATATATAGAGACTTTGGAGTGTTCTATATGCACACACACACATGTATATACATTATATAAATTGTTGTTACAAGCCATGGAGTTGCTTCGGATTCATAGCGACCCTGTGTAGGGTTTCTGAGACTGTACATCTTGGTGGGAACAAAAAGCCTCATCTTTCTCGCAAGGAGCTGTTGGTGCGCTCAAGCCACTGACTTGTGATTCTCAGTCTACTGCTTATTGTACAGAGCCACCGCACTGCCTATATATATTAATAAATTTTACTGTGATAAGAGCTCCTCACACAAAATTATTGTTATTGTTAAGTGCCATCAATTCTGTCTCATAGCGACCCTGTATAAGGTTTCTGAGGAGCAGCTGGTGAGTTTGAACCACCAGCCATTTGGTTCAAACTGACCTTGCAGTCTAGTGCTTATTCTACAGCACACCAGGATTCCTCACACAAACTAATTAAATAGTATTTAATACCTTTTTATGTAGAAAGAAACCAAGGACCAAAAAGGCTTAGCATCTATCCAAGGTTACTCAGCTAAGTGGTAGAGTCAAACTTTTGAGATCCCAAACCCTGCACGCAGTGTGTTCCTTTGGCCTTATCTCTTAAGGCTCTTGTCCTCCAGGGAGAAGTATCTGTTGGAATGGCCAGTAGATAAGGCAGAATCCTAAATCTAGGGCACTTTACCAACTATTTAGTGTATTTTTTCAACCCCCACCAGACAAGCTGAGCCCAGGAGACTCAAGTCCAGGCCTGCTTGCCTCTAAGCCTAAGACAGGCACTGAGGAATGGCAGGCTGCGGGTGGATTCATTGTGAGGCAGCCTTGTGGGGACATACAGAATTTAAAAGCTAAGTTTTACCTGTCAGATTGAGTGAGATCCAAAACTTCGTTTCTCATGATGACAAAGCTGTGGGGAAGTAAGTCCTTCATCCTATATTGTTGGTGAGAGTACCAGTTTGCCACATCGAAGGCAATTTGGCAATAGCTATCAACAGTATAAATAATAGTCTGTGACCCAGCAGTTTCCAATCCTGGGAATTCAGTCCACAGATACTTGCACCTGTAGTATGATGTATTTACAAGGTTATTCTTTCCAGTGTTGTTTGTAATAGCAAAAATTTAGTAGTAACCTATATGACCACACAAGTAGAGGAACTAGTTTAATAGATGATACAGTGAATATGTTAATTGAGTAATGCTAATGGTTATAACACATAAATGCCAAACCTCAGTGACATAGTACAATATAAAATTAATTCTCTCCCACATAAAGTCTAGACTGGGTGCTCCTCTGCAAGGAGCAAATCAGGGACTCATGCTCCTTTCATCTTATGACTCTGCCTTCTCACCCTATGAACTCCAACTTCACTGTGTACATTTAGCCAGCAAAATGGAAGTTTGTACGAGGAAATTTTTGATGGACCAGGTTTGGAAGTGGAATAGGAGTGAGAGGAGGAAAGCAAGGATTCAGAGTAGAGTCTGGGCAGCAAAGCCTAGAGAGATCTCCTGAGCCCCTTAGAGAAAGCTGCAGTGGCTTTTTATATAACCATGCCCTGAAGTCTTCTGGAGATAACCAGAAATAGCTACTTGCAGAACCTATTAGAGCAAGCAGACTCACTCGCCCCACTCTCTGCCCCAGGCTCTGGATACAAATCAGGAAGAAGAGTTGGTTTCTGTACAGGCAGCCCTTCTCCAGAACAAGGAAGACTGGGCAAAAGGAGCTCCATCCTCAACTCAGTCCATGTCTCCTCCCTACTGGACCTAGCAGGGATTCTAGAGGATGGAGAGAGTTCTTATTCTGAGTATGCCCCTATACTGATGAGTTGGTGTTGATTTTATGTGATTCCTACCCATTTGTTTATTTATAGATATTTGAGTATCTGCATTAGTCCAGGCCATGTCAGGTGGTAATGGTTTATAAAAATAAAGATGGTTCTCAGAATTCCTACCATCAGTATTAGCTTTCTTGAGCTGCTCTAACAAATTACCACAAATGTGACTTAAAACAACAGAAACTCAATTCTCTCACTGTTCTGGAGGCCAAATCAAGGTGTTGGAAGAGCCATACTTTTTCCAGAGGCTCTAGGGAGAATCCTTCCTTGCCTCTTGAGCTCCTGGTGGCTCATGGTCTTCCCTTGCTTAGGGCAGCCTGTCTTCAAATGACTTTCTTTCCTCCGTCTCTGTCAGTCCAAATCTCCTTCTCCTTTATTTTATCAGAGTCTACCCTCGTCTCGTGATCTTCAACTAACTACATCTACAAAGACCTTGTTTCCAAATAAGTTCCCATTCTGAGGTCCTGGGTGAACATGACTTGGTAGTGGTGGCACTGTTCAACCCACTACAGATGGTAAGGTAACAAGAATAAAGATGAAAAATGTGGTTCTCAGGATCCCTGCCTATAGAAAAGGCTGTTCAGTCTGTGGATTGCCCGACTGGCTGCTTTGCCTGTGGCAAGAGGTTCTCAATAGTGTGGTTTTGAGGGCTCACTCGCTGTATCGGTCCTTCTGCCTCCTTGCTTCACTGGTTTTTCCTCTTGTCTGTGAGGAATTCCAAGAGGAGGAACCCTGACTTTCTGAATTGGCCAAGTTCTTGGTTTTCCCAGGGCAGCATTGACATGAGCCGTGTGACTGTGATGGGACACTCATTCGGAGGGGCCACAGCTGTTCTGGCTTTGGCCAAGGACATGCAGTTTCGGTGAGTTTTCCAGTGGTGCGCTAATACTACACGCAGTACTCATTCGTTCAGCAAGTATTTTTACAGGAGCACCAAGCCCACTGTTTGGGGGCTGGGGAGTCAGTGTTGAAGAAAATAACAAGGCCTCTGATTTCATGGGATTATCATATTGTGGGAGGAGACAGACTAGTAAACAAGTTAGCCAATAGCAGCACCTTCAAGCACAAGGCCCAGGCCTCTCCATCCCCTAGATCTGCTCTTAAGTGACTGGATTGATTTACATAGAGTGGTACTTCATTTATCTAATCATTCATTCATTCGACTTTCATTGAGTATCTACTATGTGCTTGACTCTGTGCTGTGGATATGGAGCTGAATAACCAGCAGCCACATGCAATGAGGAAATTAAAGTAGGCTAATATGTTAGAGTGTCCAGAGTCTTCTCTGAGAATCTGACATAGCCAAGACCCAAAGGGCAAAGAAGCCAGGCTTACAAGGGTCCAGGGAAAGATCATTCCAGCCAGCAGGAACAGCTAATACAAAAGTGGACACCAACTTGTGCTGGTAGGTGTTACCGTAGGACAAGGGTGGGGAACATCTGGCCTTCTGGCCATGTTGTTGTTAAGTGCCGTCAAGTCGGTTCCTACCCATAGTGACCCTGTGTAGAGTTTCCAAGGTGCAGCTGGTGAGCTTAAACTGCCAACCCTACAATGCAGCACATCAACTCACAGCACCATACCAGGACTCCTCTGGCCATGTAAGGCCCATGAAATCATTTAATCTGGCCCTGCCAAGGCAATCATAATTTTAGCCATCACATTAGGGGTGAATTAATTAAATGTTTGACCAAATATAGCATGCAAATATTTAAGTTGATAATTTTGGCAGAAGAAAGGATCGCTACCCCTGATGTAGGAGGAGCACAGTGAGTAAGGAAGAAGCTATTCTTGGTGTGGCCAAAGAGATGCACACATTTTATTCTAAGTAGGATAGGAAATGCTTAAAAGATTTTAAGCAGAGGAAAATCTTATATGCATTTTTTTTTTATGAAAGAAGGGGCATCAAAAACTTTGTGGGGAAATTCCATGATCTTTTCATTCAATTTTCCTGTGAACTTTTTGAAGCTGCCTCATACATTTAAAAACATCCCTCTGGCTACTTACTATGTGGAGACTGGATAGTAGCAAGACAAAAATGAAACAGGCAGGTTGGAGGGAGGCTGTTTCAGAAGTCAGGTGAGAGATTCCCAGATCTGCATGAGGATGGAGAGAGAGAATGGAGTCAGGACATATTGTAGAGCCTCCAGAGCTTAGTGATATACTAGGTTAAGGAAAGAGGAACCAAGGGTTTCAGTTGCATTTCCACCTTCTGGTGAAAGGTGATGTTCCATATTGAGATAGGGAAGACTACCACAGTTTGGGAGGAGAGGGACAAATCTTTGGGTCTTAGTAACAGAAATTGCTGCTTGTCAAGCTGGCCAGGTCTCTGCGTTGTGGCAGCCACGCTCCCTGCCCTCCTCAGCTGTGCACCCTCTGGGTTCATATAGCACCTTGTATGATCAGGGTACTTAGCTGAATTGTTTGGCTACATTGTCCTACCTCCTTGCTAGACAGCTCCTTGAGAGCAAGAACTATGTTATTCAGTTCCATATCCACAGCAGCGAAAAGCACTTAGTAGGTGCTCAATGAATGATTAAGTGAAAGAAGTGCCATTCTGTGTAAATCAAGTCAGTTGCCCAAAAGTAGATCCAGGAGGCAGAAGACCTGAACCTTGTGCTCATAGTTGCAAATTGAGAAGGCTGCTTGGTGACAGGTGAAAGTGATCCCTGCCGTGAGCATCCTGAAGGGAAGAGCACCACCATGCCCACACTACCTCACTGCTTTTGCCTGGGTTTCTACCTGGCATTTCCAATGCCCCATTATTGTTCTAGGTGTGCTGTGGCTCTGGATGCTTGGATGTTTCCGCTGGAACGTGACTTTTACCCCAAGGCCCGTGGCCCTATATTCTTCATCAATTCTGAGAACTTCCAGACAGTGGAGACTATCAATTTGATGAAGAAAATATGTACCCAACACGAACAATCTAAGATCATAACTGTCCTGTGAGTAAACTCCAACTAAGGTCATGTTCCCAGGGTTCTCCATTTCCCACTCAGCTGTGGCTTCCTTTATTTCTTCTGAATTATCCAGGCGTTTCTACCCATTAATACTGGACTATAGTACTTTCTGAATTTCAAGGTCTTAACAGTACCCCTTCTCTATTTCATTCTACCTACAGTGATTTCTTCAGTAGTTTATGTGACTTTGTTACAAGACTTGCCTGCTGCTTTCTGGGAAAAGGCTATTGCAGGATGATATGTTGGGTCTGAATGGGCCCCAGAGATATTTAGCCCTAGTTGGGAGTGTTACTGGGTCTTTTGAAGAGTATGGATATGGTAGACCTTTGAATTCACAAGATAGATTTTGAAAGACTTTCATAAATATCTAAATTCACACATATCACTCTCCCATATGATTTCTTCCCTAAAACATCTGTATTCTCAGTAAGGGAGAGCACATTCTTGTCACTTTCATCACCATCACTATCAGTTTCCTTTATCTTGGGAACAGTTTCTCACAGAGAAAGACTTTCACTTTAAGATATTTACGGAGGATGTGGTCCCTCTGTGCAGCTAGTCTGCGTGCATGAATGGGAGGTGACAGGCCTCAGTCGCTGGCCTTCCCCACTGACTTGCAGCATAGTGACTCCAGCCGTGAGCCGCTTTGGCACCTGGTTAGTGGGAGCCATGGTGAGCCTGTTGCCCCCTGTGAAAGCCTGAAGCGATGAAAACCTTGACAAAATCACTGTCTTTGGTTTATCTGGAGGATTTTTAAAACAATGCCAATAAAGAAGTTTTTGTTTCTGTAATTGCCACAAGTGTGTGAATTAAATAAAGCATCAGAAATAGTAAATGATACCATCAAATTTAATCAAAAAGAAGGAAAGAAGAATTTTCCAGGACTAACCAGAAGACTCTAGCAAAATGGTGGTGATGGTGGTGGTGGTGATGATGTGCCGTGGACTCGGTTCCAACTCCCAGCGACCCTGTACAGGGTTTCCAAGGCTGTAAATTTGTACGGGAGCAGAAGGCCTCAGCTTTCTCCCACAGAACAGCTGGTAGTTTCAAACTGCTGACCTTGAGGTTTGCAGCCCAATCGTAACCACTACCCTACCGGCGTTCCTTCAACAAAGTGGTGTCTGGCAATTCAGGATGGGAGTATGGTGGGGAATCCAACAGAATTCTAGTTTTGATTAAAATAGTCTGAACCATAGAGGAAGAGTAACACCTGGAAAGAGACATCCTTATGAGTTTATCCCTGTGGCCTTGCAGCCAGAAAAGTAACTGGAATTCGGAAAGGAATTAGTCCTATGAATCGCCCACTTTTAAGTGGCAAGAATATAAAGCGATACTTTCCCATGCCAAAAAGGAAGCCAGACCTGAGACAAAATGCAATGCAGAGAAAACCAGTTGCAGTTCTCAAGAGACCTAACCAGTTAAACAGAAAAAATAGCATTCCAGCCAACTTTACCAGAAGTGGAAGTAAATTAAGCCATCAGAAAGATACTCGTCAGGCAACTTTTCTTTTCAGAAGAAGCCTGAAGATTCAGGCCTAGCTGAACACAATACAACTGCTGGATGATGTAGTAGCAGCGAGAACTCATCCACAAATGGAGGAACGTTGACTGTATCCTTTGACAGTCCTGGAGCAGCCAATGCCCAGAAACCATGATTAACTCATGCCTTGGTGCCCTCATTCTGGGCAAAACGGGAGCAGTCTGATATAAAGAAAGTTCCTAAAGGTGTTCCCTACAATTTGACATAAATACTGTTGGAAAACAGACAGGGATGACTCTGAATGAGCAATTTGGGATCCTGAGGAAACAAAGAGCCACTCTCACCTTCAACAAAGGAGGAAGCTGCTTTGTAACTGGGGGACAGATCCCATGTCAGAAGGACTTTTGCGTGACAACTCTGTTTGAAAAGTTCAATTGCTTAAAGACCTTGTCACAGAAATTCAAGAAACTTTATTTGAAAATAGTCACAAGGCTAAATGACTCATTTTCATCTTTGAAGTTGTTTGTTTTTTTTAAAACATGTATAAAATAATGCCCTGACAGAATAACAGGGAATATATTTATTTGTTCTCACAGATTTTATGGTTGCCCAGGCAGAATAATTCTGTATTTGACTCATGCAGCTGAAAGATTGAAATTGATCTTTTACGATAGTGGTATTTAGTAGTCTCTTGTCTCCTTGGCCCAGTCTTTAGACTTTGCCATGGTAAATCTTGGTCTTCAGAAATATGAGTAAAATCTCTTTATTGTTGTCACTTACCATTTAATAGTATTTGATGTAATAAGTACAAGTTGCCTTTTCTTCAGTAGAGATACATTTGTTTTTTAATTTCATTGGGATTCCTGTTGAAGGTTTTAAGATTTTGGGGAATTGCTGGAACTAATTTTTCAGATAGCATTAGGTTAATCCCTAGAGCTGTAAATCTTTAGTGCTGGACTTTTAACAAGAAATGTGACTCTAGACATTAGTCTCAGTTTATACTGTTGATGTTTGTAGGCTGTAAATGTATGTTTACCAAGTTATCTGACAGATCCTCGAGAAGAGCCGGTATTAATCTGACAGTTTTGTCAGTGAAGAACACATGAGTAGAAGTAGTGTATTGAAGAAGAGATACCTGAGGTGGAGAACTTCAGAGCCCAGGTTGAAGATTCATTCTTTGGATAGAGTATAAACTTAAGTCTAGTCTCTACAAAGAATTCTTTGAATGATATTTAAAAGAAGTATAATTATTAAAGTAGATTGGCCCTTTAGATATTTTAGTATTCAAATTAATAGTCATTAAGTCCTACACTTCCTTCTTATTCAGAAAGCTGAAATTTCTAAGCTTTTAAGATTCTAAATTAAATACTGTACTACTCCAAAAGATATACCTGTTTATGTCACACACACAAAAAAATACAAGGATAACAGAGTTACATTGTAACCTTGTTTACAACTCTGATTTCTTTGATGATATAAAGTTCAGGAAATTATGGGGAGAAAAAGGTCCCCCACACCCAAAGGAGTATGAACAAGTTAGTCTGTTGTGCCAAGAAAGTGCTGAGTCCTCTAGATATTTGTTTATTCAATGTTACAGTAAAGTGCCAAAATGCAGCAAAACATTCCTACTATATTCCTAATACAAGCTTGGGTCATTTTGAAGCATAACCTTTTGGTATACTACAACGTTAAAACATCTAAGTAGGTATTAGTTTCTCTAGAGTATATTATTGTTGTTGATATTTCCTGTTGCAAAACATTAAGTTATATGATCGTCTTCATTGTTGTCTCTTATGCTCCTTGGGTTGTTATTTAAGTAAGCCAGCCTTCTTACTTAATGGTTTGTTAAGATGCTATCAGTAACAGTTTCATACTTATACCAAAGAATTAAATCTAATCCTAAATATCTGATATTTTGCCAACATTCCTACTACTAAGGGATTATGGGAAGCCAGTCACAGAATTTGAAAACAAACACTAATCTCTCCTTAGCCATTTTATGCTTTTCATTGAGGCCAAGAACCCGCTGCAAAACATTTTGCAAATATGAATGCTTATACTTTGATTTGTTGTTGTTGTTGTTGTTGTTAAGTGCCGTCGAGTCGGTTTCGACCCATAGCGACCCTGTACAGGGTTTCCGAGG